GCAGGGGTGAGTGGCTCTCTGTAGCTAGACACACATTCCTCATACTTTCCTCATACGCATGCTTAGTCTTTTAGAATATTAGCTTTTGTAAACATTATATGGTAAGTAGTATTTATAGACATAAATATGGGTATGTTAGAATGTATTCCAGGATAACCATGGTAGAAGATAAACATTAGGATTACATTCCATTGGTAATAAAAATCTGTTTGCATATTTAGCTTCCAGAAATGTGTGCATGTAGAGATATGAATCTTCTATGTGTAGTAAACATTTACTACAAGCCACTGCTGTCACCGGGAAACATCTTACATCCTAAATGCTGCTAATACTTCAAAGTATGGGAATGATAAGGGAAGAAAGGAAGGAGGGAGGGAGAAAAGGGAAGGATGCAGGGCAAAAAGGGTATGATAAGAAAGAAAAGAAGATAAAAAAAGAAAACTTGAAATGTATGTGGTGGATAGTGGTGGTAGAATTATAGATGATATAAAGAAACAATTAGGAGTAACACTGAGGAGGATCCACTGACTGTTGTCAACTTGGTCAGCATTTGGTGGATTCAAAGAGAAGTTCTGACCCTCAGCTCTGTAGGTCCAGAAATTCAAATAACTCTGGGACTGGGACGAGCTAACAAAAACACTGGAAACGTGTATACAACATGCATTTCCCTCTTTGCTAGGAGAAATGTACCAGCCAAACAAAGCAGAAGTGCATGTTTTCTGATCAGTGCATTTTTTTTTTCCCAAGAGGAAAGTATATATGTGAAGCCTTATCAGAAGGTTATGAGGTGGGCAAGGCGAGGGGCCATAACTGGCTGCCCCTGAGGGCTGGCATCCCAGACTTACGAGAGCCTCACCCTGTGTCCTCCACTATCAAGTCTGACCCATCAAGCCGACTGGCTGTTGAATGCCCACCAACCCGGTGCCCGGAATCCTGGACAGTACTCAAAACCCACCAACAGATTATTTGACAGCACGGCTGGCCTATCCACCTTTGTCAGCACAGTTGATTTGCTTATATTCTTTTACAAATAATATCACAGGCATCCCAACTGCCAGGACGGGGCGTGACTGAGTTTTTGTCAAGCCTTCCTTGCTGTAATCTTGTCACCAAACATCTTTTAGGGCATGGTGTTCCTACAAATGACTGTTCCACACAATAGATGATTCCCACTAGCTGTCCTCTCAGAAGCTCTTTTTCTGAGATCTTTTATATTTGTTCATACAACAGACTATTATACTTCTAAGGACTTCTTTCTGTAACCGCTTGTGTTTGTAGGGCACATTTACTGCTATTGGGGCTTTTATGACCTTCATCTTCTTTGATCCCTACAATAGCCCTGTGAAATCTGGGGGATTTTCTTCTTTCTGCAATTCTCTTGTATTTCCTCCCATTAAAGGTTGTTTTCTGTTTCCCTACTAACATATACAAAATGGCTGCCAACAGCGTCCCATTTGGATGTAAATCCAATCCTACCAGGTAAGCATCACCAGACAGAGGCTTTATCAGTCCCAGTTTCAGACTCCTTGGCATAAAGCTTAAGAATGCTGTTCTTTGCCAAGTATTCTCTCATGGACCAGTTAGCTATATGAATAGGATGAGATGGTGGCAGGTGGCCGAGTCATCCTTTATGCAACATATTGTGGCCATGTGAATGGAGTCAGGGTGGACCCCTTAATGTGGCATTACATGGGCCTAGGTGGCATTAAATTTACCATGTAATGTGGTAAATCACAGCAAGTGTTCTTGGCTACACTTTTTTCCCCATTGTTTATTAGTAATTTTAGGTATACGTACAGTCACATCCATCACTGGGATCTTGTACCTTTTACATGATGCATCTTTGTTCTTATTTTTTCACCATCCCCTGCCCTCCCATCACCCCATCCATCCTTTCCTGCTTACAAAGACATCGTTTCCATGTTTTTCCTTTTCACATGTTTTTTCTTTTCTCTTTTTCCCTTTCTCCTACCCCTCCCACTTCCTCTACTCCTTTAGACCTTTTATTCCTATTACACAATATCAATTATACATTTTGATCCTTGTTTACACTTGTCGTTTTTCATACCAGAGAAATTATTCAGTATTTACACATGTGTGTCTTATTAATTTCACTTAAGAGGATGGCCTCAATGTGTATCCATTTAGCTATAAATGTCTCTAGTTTCTCTTTCTTTATGGCTGTGTAGTACTCCATTTTATTTTTTTAAAAAACCCAAGTCGTCTTTATCCAGTCTTCAGTTGATGGGCAATTAGGCTGTTTCCAAGTTTAGCTATTGCAAAACAGTGCCGCTATAAACATGGGTGAGCAAATATCCTTGTGGTATGATTCTTTTTTTTTTTTCCTTTTATTGAGTTTATTGGTACATTTTAGGTATACAGTACAATTACTTTCATTACTGGTACATTGTACCTTTACATGACAGGTCTTGGTTCTCATTTTTTCCCCTTGTCTCTGCCCTCCCTTCACCCCCTCCGCCCTCCCCATTTACACTTTATTTCCATTTTTTTCACTTTGTAATATTTTTTTCTTTTCCCTTATTACCTTTCCCCTATGCTTCCCACTTTCCCTACACCTTTAGCCCTTTTCTTCCTATTTCACATTGTCAATTATCTCATTAGGATCTTATGTACTGTTATAGCTTTTCACACCAGAGAAACTATTAGGTATTTACACATGTGTGATTTATTTATTTCACTTAGGAGTATATCCTCAATATGTATCCATTTTCCTATAAATGAATCTAATTTCTCATTCTTTATGGCTGAGTAGTATTCCATGTTATAGAAAATCCACATCTTCTTCATCCAATTTCCAACTGATGGGCAAATGGGCTGTTTCCAAGATTTAGCTATTACAAACTGTGCCGGTATAAACATGGGTGTGCGTATATCACTGTGGTATGATTCTTTTAATTCTTTTGGGAAGATACCCAGTAAGGAAATAGCTGGGTCAAATGGAACTTCTAATCCTAGTTGTTTGAGGTATCTCCATATTGATTTCCACAGTGGTTGCACCAGTCTACATTCTCCCCAACAATGAAGAAGGGTTCCTTTCTCCCCACGACCCCTAAAACATCTGTTACTGGTTGATTTCTTGATAGCGGCAATTCTTTCTGGGGTGATGCGGAATCTCAGTGTTGTTTTCATTTGCATCTCTCAAATGATCGGTGATGTTGAATATTTTTTCATATGTTTATTTGCTGCTTTTACTTCTCTGAAAAATGTTCATTTCAGATGCCCATTTTTGATTTGGGTCTTTATATTTAGGGGGTCTGATTTGTTTTTGTTTTTTTTTTTTAGTTCTTTATATATTTTAGATAGTAAACCTTTGTCTGAGGAACAGCTGGTAAAATGTTTTTCCCACATTGTAGGTTGTCTCTTAGCTCTTTTGGTGGTTTCTCTTGCAGTGCAGAAAGAAGCTTTTTAAAAAGATGAGATCCCAGTTGTTGATTCTTTGTACTGGTTCCCATGCTACTCTTAAAAATAAATATTTTAGGAGAGAGGAAATTTGGCTTTCTCTAATCCTGTACACAGGAATACCCTCCTTTCTCCTATTGGGATTGATCCAGATAAACATTTTCATTCTGTTTTTCTTTTCTTTTGGCGGGGGCAGTTTGAGACAGGGTCTCACTATGTGGTTGAGACTGACCTGGGACTCACTATGTAGCCCAGGCTGGTCTTGAACTCACAGTGATCCTCCTGCCTCAGCCTCCCGAGTGCTGGGATTACAGCCATGTGCCACTACACCCGGCCAACACTTTCATTCTGAATATCAAGTGGAAAGGTTGCAGACTTGGTCTCTCTTTGACTTACTCCAATTTTAACTAGCTTTCCCCCTCTGACACCCACACTCTAGCTCAGACTAGTCAAGTGTCCCCAGACCCCCAAGGCAGCCTGCTTCCCTGACACATGAAGCTGCTGGGTTTGGAGACCACGCAAAATCAGGACTCAGTTGGAAACTAAAATGTCAGAGAAATCAAGGTGAGGAGAGATGGCGTTGTGATACTTTATGATTCTGCTCATATCGTGTTTCTGTAATCCAAATCACAGACGGACAGAGTGGATGGGCAGTTACCAAGGGCCAGGAGAGAGAGAGGAGGGGAGGAAGCAATATTTAGTGGTATATTGTCTGCATAAGGTGAAATAGATACACAAACAAATGGTGTGCGGAGACACACACACACACACACACACAGTGACAGGAGAAGGCACTGGGCTGATGGGAGCCTCAAGGACACAGGAGGTGCCTCAGGTCTAGACAAGACTCTATCCTCAGAAGTGGGGTCGTCACCTGTGCCCAGCAGTGAGGGAGGTCACTAGCTGTCAGAGAGAAGTGAGCATGCTCTTCTGTCCCACTCCAAAACACCATCTCCAACAAGCAGGGCCAGAGACAGACAGGGGAGCTGTGTCAGGAGCATCGCAGGCCAGGAAGATGGGAGACCTTGGGGCGGGGAGCTAACTTACGCATGGGAAATTTCTGCTTCCTTTCTCGGCCCTATTCCCCACTGCTGAACCTCTGTCCTCCGAGATGTGCCCTGTCTCCCTTCCAGACAACCACAGCTGGCTTGGCCTTCAGAACTTCTTTTATCTGCCTTTGGGGCTCTTGAGGGTTCAAAAGTGCTGGTTGGCAAAAGAAAAAAAAAAAATCCTTCGGTTTCTGAAGCATACAGACATCTGTCACCCAAGCACACTTAAAGAGCAACTTCTAGACATGGCAGTACAGCTAAGTAGGAAGAAGATGGCATTTGCAGGAAGGAGGCCCTAGGGTTGTCAGCCGAGTGACCCTGCGTGAGTTCCTTCACTTCTGGAGGTGTCTGAGGTTGTAGAGTAAGATTATTAATATCTACTTGCAAGATTATAGGAAGGATCAAACGTGATCATGCAAGCAAAGCCGTGGAACAAAGCCAAGCTCACAGCATATAGTCCGTGTCGATATCCTTCTTTACAAAGCATTTGTACCAGTAAAGGAAACGTCCTTATCCCTGATGTAAGTGCTGTGAGTGCGAAGCATGGCTTCCCAGCCCAGGGAGGGGCCGGGGGCAGCTGGGGCCGAGCTCATTTCCGTCTCACCCCCAGGTGCCGACTGCCAGTGGCTGGACTTGCTGCGGATGCGGCAGATCGCCTCCACCTCGTCCCTGCAGCGCTCGCAAAGCAACCCTATCCTGGGCTCCCCCTTCTTCCCCTACTTTGACGATCAGGACTCCTACGCGGCCGCCGTGCGGCGGACCCAGGCGCCCGTCAAGTACCCGCAGATCACCCCCATCAACCAGTCCAGGAGCTCCTCGCCCACCCAGTACGGGCTGACCAAGAACTTCTCCTGCCTGCTCCTCAACTCCAGGGACAGC